GCTAAACATAGGAGGAGCACTTGGGAAAAGAAATGTTTCCAGCGCAGAGTCTTTAAAATGTTCCCAGTTGGAATACCTTCATTCCTTTCTTTTTCACCTGTACTGTGCCAGATTTATCACACGGTATTTTCCTTCAATTATAAGCTCCCTAAGAGAAGGGCGACAGTGAAAGGGTGGTCACCTTGACCACATCTTTCCGACATTCCTCCCACAGGAAACGTAACTCCTTGTACAAAGTGGACACTCCCTTTCTCAGTCCAGTATTTATTGGATACCTAACTACTGTATGGCAGACGGTGTATTAAGCTCTGGAGATTCAACCTGAATGTCTGCTGAAGTGACTTGTACATAAAAGGAAAGCCTAGAGTCATCATCCAATTGGACTGTAGGGATGCTTGCTTTTGCTCCTTGGTGACAATTTTTAATTAAACACACACAGGCATTGACGGCAGCCAAATGACAGAAGGCTCACTGTCACTGCCTCTAAGAAGTTCCAGGAGGTGTCCTGCCTGGAGGAAGGCGGGCGTCACGCTGCACGTGCCACTGTGCCCTGCTGGAAAGGGGCAGGCTTGCAAAGCCCGCCTTCCTAAGCCCTTCCCGGCAGCCTGTGACATATACCCCTTTTCCTTCTGCATTGGATAGAGGCAACGTGATTAGCTCTTTATTGTAATGACCAAAGGGGCATTTCAATAACTCCTTTCTGCAGTGAACTGCAGTTTTCCAGAATCTAGAACAACAAACCTAAAATTAAATGGGCTCATGTTACTTAACGATCAAGGGCCCCTGAGCATCTGTCTCAGAGACACTAATTGCTTGCTATTTTAATAAAGTGCTGTTGGTTCTAATGAGATGATTTCTTTTTTAAAAAAGTAGAGTGTGCACACCAAGATCAGTTTGGGCTGGGGAGAGATGGCCAGTTGGGGCTAGGGTGGAGATGGAACATTTTAACCTGACAGCGGTGTCATCTTGTGGTTAACAGACTATGTCTTTGCATTTGACGAATTTTGGAGTCATCCAAGGGCCTCATTTCCAGGATTTCCTCTCTTCATATTTGTATGACTGACAGGTTTATTCTGCTGAAAGTTCAGAGAACTATAGGTCACGGTGCAGACTTTTCTAAATACAAAGAGCTTATTATACAGAATTGGATCCCATTCAAATAACTGAGCAACTTTTTCAGTGATGACATTAGGAATTTTAGGCAACTAAAAAACAAACCCAAAAAAACCAACAAAACTTTAGGGATCCCTTTGATCCTGGTTAAATGCAAACAAATAGAAGGGTCACAAGGTCCTACCTGCTTACCTGATATGTACACCTATGAGCAATGAAGTTAGAAGTAGTTGACAAGAGTGATGTGTCAGGGTTTGCCTTTGGGTGAGGGTCACTAGGATCCATAAATTCTGATAGAGGAGATCCATGAGATCTCAGAAATCAAATGCAGTATTTTGCATAGGGGTATTCTTCTGGAATGTGGGTCCATGGCCTTCATGATTCTCAAAAGATCCAAGATTCAGAACAACATTAAGAACAACTGTTCTTGTTTCCTTCCTTCCTCTCTTTTTCCTCACTCCCTTCCTTTTTTTCTTTTTGTCTGCATTTTCTTCGTGAACATCTAAGGCCTTAAACATTCTCAGAAAGACAAGTGGCTAATCATTAGCAGGATCAGGGACTTGCTAGGTGTGACTTCTGTGTATCTATGTAGAGTTTTAAGTCTTATATCAACATGATTATTCTTTATTATGGTTATTGGGACAAGGAAGGTCAATGATAATCTTAACTCCCAGTTAAACTGAGTTTGTTCTCTCTGCACCACTCTTGTCTCTTATTCCACTGTTTACTTGCATCGTTATCACTATAAGAGGATTTTAGAATGAGTGGTGGATATTTTGGTGGATGATATGGGGTGGATAACAAAAATGAGATAATTTCTGTTTGCATTCAAATCCTACATTGCTTTCACAAATGAATCTACTTTTTCTTAATAATTAATGAAGCTGACATTTTTTTTCCAGCACATTTCATCTTCACAATCCCGGAGTCCACCTTGGCTGTTGAGGTCAACAAGTATTGACTGAGCACCCCAATATTCACTGACCCTGTGTACCAGGAGTTTGATAATAGAGCTCCTGCTCTTCAACATACATTACATGTGTTAGGGAAGCAGATTCTGTTGGTGATTACTCCCAGGTAAAAGGAAAATTGAGAACATTTCTCCAAAGAAGATATATGAATGGCCAACGAGCACATAAAGACACTCATCATCATTAGCCTCCAGGGAAATGTAAATTAAAAAGCACAATGAAGTACCACCTCACACTCACTAGAATGGTTATAATTAAAAAGATAGGCAGTAACAGCTGTTAACAAGGAGGGAAGTAGAGAAATCGGAACCGTCATACATTATAAAATGGTACAGCCACTTTGGGAAGCAGTTTGGCATTTCCTCAAAAAGTTAAACATAAAGTTACTCTACAACTCAACAATTTTATTCCTAGATGCGGAACCAAGAGAACTGAATGCATATTCATACAAGAACATGAACATGAAAGTTCACGGCACATTATTCACAAGAGCCAAGAAGTAGAAACAACCCAAATGTCCATCAGCTGTGAACGGAGAAACACAGTGCGGCACACCACAACGCCCAGGCGAGACGTTAATAGCAGGGGAGGCTGGAGGTAGTTTTGGCGAGAGGGTACCTGGGAACTCTGTACTCACCACTCAATATTTCTATAAACCTAAATTTGCTAAAGAAAAGTCTATTTAAAAATGTGGTATATCAATATAATAGAATATTACTGAGCCATAAAAAGAACAAAAAGTGCTACAATGATGAACCTTGAAAACAAGCGGCCAGACTCAAAAGGCTGCATACTGTATGATTCCATCTACACGAGGTGTCCAGAATGGGCAGATCCATGGAGACAGAGTCTAGGTTAGCGGTTGCCAGGGCCTCGGGGGAAGGGACCTTGTGGAGTGACTGCTGACAGGCATGCAGTTTCTTTCGGGGGTGATGAAAATGTTCTGGAATTAGACAGTGATGATGTTTGCACAACCTTTTGAATGCACCAATGAATTGTACACTTCGAAGGTGTGGATGTTACGGTGTGTGAATTATATCTCATTATCTCAAAAGGATAATGGAGCTGAGGGAGGGAGGGAGGGAGGCAGTTCTTGTCTTTGGGTACCAAGGGGAAGCAGTTTTGCCACCCAAAATATGCCTTTTGGGGAAACATTATTTTTAAGCTGGTTATTTTTAAGAACAGAAGAGGCAAGAAAAGCATTTACTTTCCCCTCACCTGCCTAAAGGAACTCGGGTAGAACAATCTGCTTAAAGGAGGGGAGCTATCACCTTAGCATAATATAACCTAAGTGTGGCCGTCCTGAGAAACCAACCTGCAAAGTCTGTTTGTTAGACTCCGTTCTGTGTCCGTTGTTTCCGAGTGGCTTCATGAGAGTTTGTTTACCAAATATTTGCTCTTTCTCATCCACCTGTGAGTTGCCTACTTTCCCTCTGAAGTCCCAGATCCCTGCCTCCCTCTCCTTTGTCCAGAAGGGCATATAAGCCTCACCTGCCCAGTCTGTCCAAGGGTCTCCTATTCTTAGGGAACCCCCACATGTACATATGTGGTCAGGTTGGTAATTTTCTCCTCTTAATCTGTCTCACGTCAATTTGATTACTAGACCAGCCAGAAGCCCTTAGAAGAATAGAAGAAAAATTATTTTCCTCCCACACAGTACACAAGGTAATGGTTGTATTTTTCTATAATGGCATGATATTATTTACTTCATTGCCGCCATCCTGTGTGTTGAGGGCAGCCAACACCCTTTTTACAATATCCGTCTTTCTCTTTCATGTGCTGTCTCCCCTGCTGTGTATCATTCCCTTTCTCTTTTATATGATTCCCAGCAATGAACTATTAACAAATTCACCATGACTAAGATTTATCCGGAACCTAGGAAAGACGGGGGTTCTTTTTCACACAGTTTAAGGTGTGCTCGGAGACTAAACAACGTTCTCTTCGGTTGACTAAAATGCAAGATGAAGAATAATCCATTAAGGCATGCTGTGCACATCAATTATTCAGGAAGAACAAAAGCAGACAGAGATGGAAGAGGACACAGGACCTTCCAGTGGAAAAGCACACCCGACCAAGCTGTGGCTCCACTGAAATCAAGCTGTCTGCAGCTTCTTGCACAAAAATGTCACCGCCAAGCAAAATTAGAAGACAGATGAGGACTCATGCAAGCTACTACTCTGTCTTTTTGGGCTCATAAATATGCACCGTGTAATGGGACGTTAAAGAAAATATGCAACTTCAAGGTTTCTCTCAATGCCAATGCTGATGTCCTTTTACTTTGAAGTTAGAACTTCAGTTTTACTCAAACGATATTTGCTCACTTACCGCATATATTTCTGAGATACAAAGTATCTATTTATATATTGCAAATTCCCAGAATTGACTCTTTCTAATGTTCATGGCAACCCATCCAATACAATAATGATCACCATTTCATCTCATAGCTTTTAATGTTTTGTAATTCTTGAATATCTCTATAGGTATAACATCATATTCAAATTTCAACCTTTAAAACAAATAAACTAACCAGGTTAGCAGGTATGCCCAGCCCTAAAGATCTGCATCAAGATAACTCATTCTTTTCATAATTTGTGGGCACTTCAGATGGTACCAAGTAACTTCTTAATATAACTCATGCTGGAATTAACTACAGAGTTTAAATGTCAGCTCATCCAGTTTACGTTTTTTCCGCTTGACTCTGTCTTTATAATACATGCATGCCACTGTTCTTAATCTTTAACAACGGTACAGAAATATTCCACTCTTTGCCCCCACCTCCTTTTTAAAAACCGGATGTTTCTGGGCACCAGGTCCAGCATTGGTGTTCCCTGTCTTGACACACAGGTGCTTGCCTTCAAATGTGAAATCACTCCGGTCACGCTCTGCCGATAACAACATGAATATAAGTGCATTTACCTGGCTTTACAAGGCCTGACTTGGGTTCCTTCTTATATCGCGCTGACTGGATGCCTCCCTCACCAACCATTCTAATTGTGCATTTCTTCCTGGTAAAGTCTTCATCACTTCCAGGGGGGAAGCCCACAGGACTGTTCCCAGTGTCCGAGGGCGTCTTCACAGGAGACACCGACTGGCTGCTAGGACAGCCTGTGTCATCTGCAAGACAAGAACCAACACTCGTTTAGCGAGGAGGAGGAAATCCACGACGGCCAGAAGCGTGCAGCGTCACACACATGTGCGTTCACGCACCTGCACTCCGAGCATCAACCCCCAGGTTAATGCCTGTGAATAACTCTCCTTTTATTTTCCAAATGTTGGCCAATCATTTAAACAGAGAAAACACCAATTATCAAAACAAAACATATTTTAAGGCAACACCTTATAAGTTTTTGGATCATAAATATTTCTGTAACATTCATGTTGTCAAAAGCTAAAGATTTGTCTATTTTTACACATTTAGGTAGTTTCCTTTTGGGTCATAACTGTCCATGGATTTTTGATGGGCTTAGTAACAGCAACTGGATGTTCACCACAGCAACTGGAATCATTCATAGAAACTCTCGGAGGTGTCTTGTGTTAGCAAAAAAGTTACTTCAATGTTTTGTCCACATCCAGTTTCTGATCACTGGGCCCATAATTTCGTTAACAGGGTGACAGACAAGACAACTGGCATGAGGAGTTCAAGCAAGCATTGAGAAATGGTCTTGTTCTGTTATACACACCGAACCAAAAATATATCAACCAGATAGTGTGCTGTCTGGAGTAAACAAGGGAAAGGAAAATGATACTCACATTAGAAACATTCCCTTAACTTTCAAGTTTCAGATAATTACCACCGTCATTGTTATAAATTAATACAGCTGATATGCCCTTGCTGGTATGGGTCAGTGGGTTGGAGCATCATCTGCAAACTGAAAGGTCACGAGTTCGATTCTCAGTCAGGCACATACCCAGGTTGTGGGTTCGATCCTCAGTCGAGGTGTGAGTGAGAAGGCAAACGACTGATGTTTCTCCCTTGCATTGAAGTTCTCTCTCCCTTTTTCTCTCTCTCCCTCTTTCTCCCCTTATCCTATCTCTCTAAAAGCAATGAAAAAATTTCCCTGGGTGAGGATAAAAAAGTATATACATGCATAATATGAAGTGACCTGTGAAGACATTTACTAAGCAGATAAGAATGTTGTATCACTGATTCCTGTAAGTGCTTTCCATATGAAATATTTACAAAGTTGGTTACTTCATTTGTACTTTGATGAGGAAAACTGCATAGAAATTTAATGCAGATCAATATTACTTAAAAGTATGTCCATTCAAACTAATCAATTAGTGGTAATTTTCATTACTAAGTATATCTTTGTTATTCAAAAATATTTTAATGCAGAGTTACCTTAGAAACTGGTTAAACAAAAAAAATGAATAGACATTTAGTATGAATAACTTTTAGGGAACTATTCAACTTTTATGAATATTAAAGGAACTAAAAATAAGTTGCCATCTATGAAAGACTGTCTTAAAACTTGATAGATCGAATAAAGACAGAAATAGAACTAGGCCTGAATAAAATATATTGATTGCCTGAATTTAGAATCCATTTGAAAAAGAACCACCATTGCTTCATTTTTGGCTTTTACTTCAATTTTTATTATGAAATATCCCAGTTCCTGGAACAAATGAACTTGGCACTGGTAAAAGGATTTATTTCTCTTAATATCCTTTTTTGACTTTGGACATATTAGTGTACATAGGACCTCAATAGCCCATTTCTAGATGTGAATGGTGCTTAGTGCATTGTTCACGCCTTCTGTCTTTGGTGCTCTTTTCAACGTGCTGTGTTCTTCCTGAACTCCGGAAGAGACTGGCCCTGAATTACAGGGGATGAGAGCCCCTCTTGGCTGCTACTGGTAGGCTATTTCACCACTTACTATCTCTGCCTTTCTCTTGTATTTGCATGTCCCGTGCTTCACCCCAAGGAAACCAGAGCTCTTCTCCAATGGTGCAAGGCTGCTAATTACTCAGACTGATCCCCGTGCCCCGACAAGGCCCACAGGCCTGCATATCACCTCAGGAAGCCTCTCTTTCCTGAGTCCTCTCCCAGAGCAGATAAAGTCCCCCAAATGAGGTGTAACCATTCAAAAGTACCTCTTGCCTTTAAAATCATTCCCTTATGAGTCAGTTCCATAAAATCCTTCTTTTGAAAGAGAAATGATCCAAATAAATAAAAGTCCATGCTTCAGATTCTCCATTCTAAAAAGTAACTGTTTGTCTTGAAAACTCTCAGACTCAAGGGGACATTAAAATTTTTCCAGTATTGGGAAACATTGTCAACATTACACTTTAAATAAAGAGAAGGCAAACATGTTTTCTTTAGTTCTATGATCATTTTGCTAAAGTTAAGTAAGAAAGAATATGTATGCACCATGTTTTCAGTATGAGTAATTTCAATGATTAAGTGCTGGGGTCTTATTAAAAAGTGGGGACTGAAATTATTTATGGTCAGGAAGGCAGGAGCAATTTTTCACCTGGCGTGCGGGCCTTACCTGTCACTAATATGCACAGCCAGCATCTCCAGGGACAGGTATTGAGAAGATGAGTAAGTTTTTCACTTTAGTAACCGCATAAAGCATGTGAACCACTATGTAAACTGGGGTTCACCCAACATCTCTTACCTGTCTAATATTTTGCTGCATACTGAAGAAGAAACAATAGGAATATAAGACATAATCTTTCATTGGCTAAACAAATATGCATCAAGCCTTGGCACTGCACTGGCCCACAGGCATTATACCCAGTGCCCATACTGATGGGACTTACAAACAAGCCAAAATGCAAATGATATTTACTATTAACTGGTAAGCCTCGTAAGGCAAATCCATATCCATGAAAATCTGTGAGTTATCAGAGAAGCTGGGACATTTGCCTGTTTTGTCTAACAAAGGACTCTAGTTTGGGAAAGGGCGGGGCCCCTCGTTCTCCCACTGCAGAGAGTATGCACCAAGTTATGCAGAGTAAGACCAGAGCGAAGGCAACAGAGCTTCCCATACCAGAGAGCCACCTCGTCCCCTGCGGCACCCGCGGCATTTTCCTCTGTGCAGCACTGAAGACGTGGTGATTTTTCTTCACCAAGTCATGTCTGAGGCCCCTTCTCCGCTCTCCCCCTTCCCTCTTCCTCCTCCTTTAAACGTCATGGTCCCAGTCGGAAACAGACCACCCGTCCAGATAAAGACAGTTCCCCTTTCCAAAATTCTATGTAAGATATCCTTCATTCACATCGACTCCAATATTCTAAGAATAGTGAAGACAATTTATGTTCCTTGGCTGCTCATGTCCGATCTTACTATGCGCCAAACCCCATGTGGCCCAAGCACATGTTAAAGAGATTCATGTGTTAAGCCTGCTCTGGTTAAACCCTTGGAGCCTGCCTTCTGTTCCTGCTGCTGCCTTGACTCCCGAATCTGTCCTGTGGAATCCACAGATTTCTGAACACAATGGTTATAACTGTAGCTCTTGTTAGCTATGTTAGTATAAACCAATGATCAATAACAGACATTTCTATTATGATACCATGAAGAATCTGTTTCTGGCAGGAAATGGCAGAAATCCTGAATGGTCTACCCCCAAAGTGTGGGGCGTTCTACATTTCCCGAAGAATACCAGAGAAAAGTAAGAACATTTTACTCTGGTTTTGGCATAAAGGAAGTTTTGCTCCGAGGACTTTAGGAAAAGGCTGTAGAATGCCGTCTGCCCTGGAGAGGGAGGAGTTTTTCTTTTAAAACACAAAGCAGCATGTGTGTGCACACACATTCACACACCGAGTCTTACATTGTTGAGTTTTTACAGTTCTTCCTCTATTATTCGTGGTTAACTAAAACTCCCTTACACATGCATGTGCGCATGCATGCGCGCGCACACACACACACACACACACATCCTGGAACCCTATTCCACATTTTACACAGTGTGTGATCCATTTTGAAATACAGGAGGATTTCTTCCTGGGGTCAACAACTTAAAATCCCACGTACAAGGCCCAGGATGGCCACTGGTGAAACTCAGGTAGCAGCGGCCCTCACCGAGGCCACACCTAGGGGATCACAATCTATGGAGGAGACTCATCCACATGCCCTCCTCGATTTACAGTAAGGAACAGGCTTTTTGGTGTTGTTCTCGTTCATTTGCTTTGAACCTGTCAACACAGGATTGATGGAAAGAATGGAAAGAATATTGGAAAGAATATTCCCAGATCCAGGAAAACCCTGGAAGTTGAGGCTTAATAATTAAAGTGCCATAAGAACTATACCTACTAACGGGTTTCCAAATTGTTGTTAAGGAGAAAAAAATTTAAGGTCTATAAAGACAAATGGGAGAAACAGGAATCGATTATAATTTCATAGCCTAGAATTCATTATAAAGTTATCTATTTTTCCTCTTCGCATACATTACAGCTCTTTGGCAATATGGGCAATAATCACTAATTATCCACTTAGCAGCTCTAAAAAAAGTGTGTATTGGTATCTTATAAAATAATTTGAATCTTATTTTAAATGCACTAAAGGAACTTACTAATAAAGAGAATCTGTTGGGATTGTTAGAATTTTACCTTATTATTTTTTTATTATAAAAGTAATAACTCTCATTGTGGAAAATCTGGAGTGCAGAAAAATACAAAAAGCTAAGGAAAAAGTGAAGAGATAGTATTTTCCTATAACTGTACTACCAAGAAGAAATATTTAACAATTTGGCATATTTCTTCATGATCTTTTCTTAAATGTATATGGTTGCTTTGGTTTGTCTTTTTTGTTTTGTTAAAGTTTCAATATATATTATAGACAGTTTCATTACTTTGTTACGGAAAATGTTCCCTGGAACTTGTTAGACTGGGAAAAAGCTATTAAAGATTAACAAGAGCCACTCAAAGGAGCCCCAGTTGACCAAAGATGGAAAATTTAAGCACAAAAAAGCATAACAAATACAACTGACTGATAACTATTGGATATTTTTAAAAGTCTATGAGTTCACAGTGATACATAAAAAGCAAAACTAAGGAAGGAAAAAATATCCCTTTTGCCCACAAGAATTCTAACTTACTGGAAATCACTGGATATGACCCAGGGACCAATTTTTTATGTTGAAATTTGACAATTAAAAAGAAAGAAAACTTA